GTTTGGCAAAGAGTGCAAAGAGTGGCTGACAAATGATGAGTCCGTCGCCATTTCTAGTCAGTGTGTGTGCATTTTTGTTTGTGTGTAGAGTGAGTAAGGCAGAGTTTACAGGAGCCTTGCGTTGTTCACGACCTTGCGTTGACCGCCTCAACTGCGTCGTGTCCGTCCAGAAGAGGTGAATTGACGCACGGTGCTCGTGAGTTCGACAGTGTGTCAGTGTGTCAGTTTGTCAGTTGACTGGCTGGCCAGTTGGCGGCTGGTCGAATTAAAATAGTCGACAAGTGAAAAAAATACAAATACACTACTTACTTACTACTTACTACTTACTACTCACCGAGATCAGTCAGAATTGGCGGGCAGTCGGTGATTGGCTAAATTTTGAGCAATCTTTTTGTCTGTCTGTCTGTCCGTCCATCCCGTAGGCCAGCCTTTTCCCCCACCACCCCGCTAGCCTGGGCGTCTTCCCGATGACGTCAGTCTCCCTCGCCGGCAGCTGCGTCCCTCCGAGCAGTCTTTCCATGCAGACGCCCGTCTCGCCACTCCACCAGCCCCTCGGGCCGGCCGCCTCGCTGGCTGGCCTGCAGGCGAGCGTCTCACCGCCCACGCACCTCAGTCTGGCCAATGGCGTTCTTTCCAGCGCACTAGCCAGTCAGGCGCAGGCACAGGCACACGCGCAGGCACAGGCACACGCGCACGCACAGGCGCATGCGCAGGCACAGGCGCAGGCGCAGGCGCATGCGCACGCACAGGCGCACGCGCAGGCACAGGCACAAGCTCAAGCCCAGGCGCAGGCACAAGCTCAGGCGCACGCGCAGGCGCAGGCACAGGCGCAGGCTCATGCGCAAATGCACACTCCTCATCAGATGACTCATCTGTCACAGCACCAGCACCAGCACCAGCATCAGCACCAGCAGCCGTCGCAGGGCCAAGCGCTCACGCAGCAGCTGCACTCGCAATCGATCGCCGCCTCGGGCCAGCCGTCGCTCCATCTGCAGCCACAGCCGGTCGGCTCGACAGGCCTGGCCACGCCGCTGCTCGGCCTGCCTTCGCAGGCGGCGGCTGCGGCTGCGGCGGCCGCCGCGGGGCTGGCCTTTTCAACCAATCCCAGCGCAGCTGCGGCGGCAGCTGCTGCGGCCGCTGCCGCCGGCTCGCAGAACCCAACTGTCGGCCTCGGTCTCGGTCTTCAGGCGCTGTCCTCGGCCAGCCTGTCCGGCGGCCCGCCGCCGGGACTCACCACCAGCGGCCTCTCCAGCGTCGCCGCCTCGCTGGCGGCCCTGGCGAACGGACAGGCGGCCACGGCGCCTCTCTCGCTCGCCTCTCTCACGCCCTGTCAGTTTCACCCTCCCTCTGTCTGCTTGTCTCTGTCTCTCCTCATCTCTCTCCCGCTATTGCTGTCTCTGTCTCTCTGTATGTCTATCTGCACCCTCCACACCAGCACACATACATGTACACACGCACACATTTTTATTTATTTGTATGCATTGGCATATTTGCATGGCAGTTCATTGTGCATGTATGCCTATTTACGTACACGTAGGCGTCACGTTTCCGGTGCACTCGACCG